AACTATTGTCTATCACATCCCGTGCCTTGAACTATTGTCTATCACATCCCGTGCCTTGAACTATTGTCTATCACATCCCGTGCCTTGAACTATTGTCTATCACATCCCGTGCCTTGAACTATTGTCTATCACATCCCGTGCCTTGAACTATTGTCTATCACATCCCGTGCCTTGAACTATTGTCTATCACATCCCGTGCCTTGAACTATTGTCTATCACATCCCGTGCCTTGAACTATTGTCTATCACATCCCGTGCCTTGAACTATTGTCTATCACATCCCGTGCCTTGAACTATTGTCTATCACATCCCGTGCCTTGAACTATTGTCTATCACATCCCGTGCCTTGAACTATTGTCTATCACATCCCGTGCCTTGAACTATTGTCTATCACATCCCGTGCCTTGAACTATTGTCTATCACATCCCGTGCCTTGAACTATTGTCTATCACATCCCGTGCCTTGAACTATTGTCTATCACATCCCGTGCCTTGAACTATTGTCTATCACATCCCGTGCCATGAACTATTGTCTATCACATCCCGTGCCATGAACTATTGTCTATCACATCCTGTGCCTTGAACTATTGTCTATCACGTCCCATGCCATGAACTATTGTCTATCACATCCCGTGCCTTGAACTATTGTCTATCACATCCCGTGCCATGAACTATTGTCCATCACATCCCGTGCCTTGGTTTACTCCTCTTTGTCGTTCAATTCGTTCTTGAATATCCGTTTCTCTTTTGCCGTCAACATCGAACAAGATTGAATACAAGAACATTTAATACAAAAATCTATTCATTTATCTATTCAAATAATAAAGAGATATCAAAATCTTCTAGAGTCTGAAATATATTGCTGGGTGCTTTGGCATATTTTAATATAGTCCTCTAAAGACAAATTATTACTACAATGTAACATTGTATAGTAACTGCAGGTCTAGCGGGATGAATTCATTCAGTTCACGGTACAATTTTATTCTTTGGTCCGCATAATTATTACAAATAAAGAAGTGGTATGAATCTTCAATGGGATGACCGCATTGACAGTGACGGTAGACAATTAAATTATAAAGATTGGAATAGATCATCATTTAAAGTACTAGATATATTTCTCAGTCTGGTTTGCAATATATTGGATTTCCGGTTTCCGATCAATTAATAATTTGGAACTTTTGTCAAGGTTAGAAGAGATTTTTTAAAGACTGCGTACGAAACACTTTTTCTAATTTCAAGATCTAGTCGGTTCCAAAGTCGAGTCGTAGATGGAAAAAAATGATAAGTTGGTTAGTTGTAGTCGGAAATGTGGTATGGAGTAATTATTTGTAATAATTAACATCATGTCGCCCTCTTGATCTCTTTCTTGTTAGACATAGCGGTTGGTTGTTTTTATTATATTCATTTGTGTGCTTTGGTGTTGTGTTGCCATTGGTGTGCTTTGGTGTTGTGTTGCCATTGATGTGCTTTGGTGTTGTGTTGCCATAGGTGTGCTTTGGTGTTGTGTTGCCATTGGTGTGCTTTGGTGTTGTGTTGCCATTGGTGTATTTCGGTGTTGTGTTGCCATTGCCTCAGCTCTCGTTTGGAGAACATGACATAACTTGGATTGGACCAATATTTAGATGGCGGGTGCCGCCAATGGAACGAAGACGCGCACCCTTCCGAAACACCTGGCCATCCATGTTTTTTTCAAAGTTCTGAACGGAAGTATTACCTTTGCTCATGTTTATCCTTGTTTTTGAGTAAGATTACTTCATGCCAGCAGCGTTTTGTCCTAATACTGTGAAGTAAGACACTATTCCAATTCAGCTTTCAAATATTTATTGATCATTAACCAAACAATAACACCTGAACAACAACAATGCCTTTATCAATATATACATCGCAACAGTTTATCTGACAATCATTACTCATACAAATGCTGGACCTGTATATGAACGTTACCAATCTGTCGCCATTAAAATTCTTCTCAGATAATTGTACAAATATGTTTTTTTCCAAACACAATGGTGACTAATCAAATTACGTACATAAACATATCCGATGACTATCACACACATACATGTACATACATGGACACGCACACATACACACCCAATCTGATACCTGTTTACAACTCCAACGCCAATAAATATGACATATTATATAAATGATAATAATTTACTGTACGAACATTTTAACAAAATAAAAGGGAAAAAAAGGGGAAAGATATAGTTCAATTGGAATCATAATATTTGTTCGTAGTTAGGTCAACCTGACGGTAAAGTGTGCCAATTAATAATTTAAAATTATAAGTATTCGTCCTTATATATAGAAGATAAAGAGACCGGAAAGGATTTTTTCAGACTAAGAGCAATTCCCCTCTCAAGTTTTTAATTGGCTACGAGGCCAATACATTGGATTTTTCATTCCTTACAGTTGTAATTCGTACGTAACTTCACAGATTAAGCCTAGTTCATCCCGTGCTGTTTTTATAAATTTTTGTTTTCAAACTTTCAAATTTCAAACAACTCTAATTCTGTAAAATGCATGCATGACGTTCGATGTTTTTAATGGCGGTGTTAATACCTTACCAAGGGAAATTCATAAGTATCAAACGTATCAACGTATACATGGGTAAGGTATGTTTATAATGGCAGACATAGGATGGATATAAATATAATAATTAACCATATTTAACAAATATTGACATCTTCTCGGAGGTGAATATAACAATTTATGTACCCGAGGAAGAAACATTATCACTGAAATCGACACTTTTTGAGGCATTGCATGTGACAAGGGACTTCCCCTTTGTTCTGTTTTGGTGTTTATGGAAGTTTTTTTATGCTTAAAGTGAATGTAACGAAATGTTCGACAGATAATCTTATATTCCAATGAAACACACATGCAATCTGCTAGTTTCAGTTTTATTACTTTGTAACGTGTAAAGAGAAGACCGATATCTAAAACGTGTTATAGACATGGTGTGTGGGAAAGAGCCGAAAGCTCTATGAATAAACAAGTAAGTCTCAAAATAACACATCGTTCCATCAATATATTAGCTTCCATATTCAAGTTTGATGCCATTCAAATAAGCTTTTATTGGCGGAAACACTGTAGATAAACATTAAAAAGAGTTATTTTATATTTGTGGTTAGTATTACAATGCGTTTTGCTGGTATCTGTGTTTTACAGCGATGATAAATTTTGCCTAGTTTTTGTCAACCATGGAATAAACACTTTATGATAATTCACTTTTTGACGTTAGTAGCCTCAAATCCTAATACCTAAGTAGAGACGATTATCATTACCTGATCTTTACGATACGGAATGTCTCCAGACGCATCACTCTAGACATATTATCAAATCAATCAAGATCTCCCAGAGGGACTAGACACGGAAAAAAGCATGAGAAACACGACATTATCTGAAGTCACAGATGAATTGCTCCCAAATGGTACGTTGTTTCTACTGTTCACCAATGCCCTATACTCATACTGATTAAACGTGTCGGCGTGTCAGATACTGCCATAAAGAAGTCAAGTGGATTTCATTCCACCACGTACAGACTATCGTAATTTGTGGTGAGTAAATGGCCCCGTTATATTATCATATCTTGTCGACCTGTCTACTAATTTCCTTGTGTGTTCTTGATGAGTTATGCCGTAGCAAGGCGAACCCAGCATATGCCCTTTTTAGTCTAAATGTCTACCTCAGACAGCCAATTCTACTCACTATTTAGTGATACGCTGACTCAAGACAAATGCTATCCATCAACTTGTTCACGTTGTTACCTTTGCAAGTCATCCATTTTGTTGATATCTATTGAAGTAGGGTAGTATGTTTATTTTCTACTTTGTAAAATATAATCAATTTTAATTGTTTTAATACCAAATGTTACAATGTTTTAATCAAACTTGTTTTATTCCTAGTTCAATAAAGAAAATGAGCTGCATCCCCGGAACTACCATTTTCCTAAAAGGATACGTGATACATTATACCATTTGTTTGTCACACTATGTAGTTTATATTTAATCCTGATTTATCGTGATATAAATGTAATGGTAAAAAACTATTTAGCAATTAATATCATTACTGAATAAAAATGTCAGAAATAACGGAGTTATTCTTATCCTGTCGTCGTATGCTGTTTAACAACAAAAAAAATAAAATAAAAGGAATACGCAAGGTTTGAAGGACCAAATTAAATGAAAGAACTCTATTCAAGACGTCCAAGGATTGGCATCGGAAACCTCCTCCTACGCAGAGGATTTTGTTTGCTAGCCAATCGTTATAATTAGTCTGCTTTAAACTACAACGTAAGTATCATCTTCCTAGACTGAAAAGAGAAGCATGATTTGATGTACGATTTATGTTTCTTGTTTTCTCCTCAATTCAAGTTGTTGTTTTCTTTATTTGAAATTTTGTACTTGTGCATTGATGCTGTGGTACACTTTTTTTTTTATCATATTTGTTTGTTATAATTGTCAACCATGTTTTGGGTTTGGTGTCAAAAAGTGTTTGAAATTTGCCTAAACAAATCTTTTGTAAATATGTCATTTTTCCACGATAGAAAAATATGTGTTGATGCAATGGTGTTTGTCTGGGTACCTACAAGTATAAGGGGTAGAAACCTTCAACAGAATTAATCACTACTTTAGAAGCAATGTATATTAGATTATTATTCTTTATATTAATTAAAATGCGAACAGTACAGAAAAAGAATCTCATCCTGATTTGCTAATCTTTAACATTGCATTCTATCGTTTGCGATTTGTACCAAGTTTATGCAATTTCTCTGTGTGGTTACAGACGAATGTTTTTTTGTTTTCAGTTGTTGCGCATGCTCCTCGACATTAACAGTGAATACATAAGCAACCTAACGCATACTACTTAAGTTAATCCATAGCATACATAGTGAGATGTCAAAATAAATAGTAGGTTTCTGAAAGCTTCCTACAATGAAAACAAAAAGAAACATTGTAATATATCTTTTTATTACTTGTATTTTGAGTTCGATTTTAGTGTTGGCATTCATGAAAAATTCTTAGATATCTAAAAAAAACACGGTGTTTTACGTATGTCTATGTTAAAAATGGTAAAAAATATTGAGAAAAATCAGTAGAACTCCGTCTATGGATACATTATAAAAGGAGAATTGCTTAAATTCAGGATGGTGGCAATTTCAATACCGTGACGTCACCCTTCTACGAAAGGTCACTATCAAGGAGATGTTTAAATGCTATTTCTTTTAACATTCGTCAATGACATAAACATCAGGTATAATGTTATATCAAAAAACTTTGAATAAGATGTTTTAAGACAAACTAACGAGAATATCATTGATCGTTAAAGAAAAGATTGATGTAATACGAAACTCAGTGACATTAGATTGATGATTAGAACCTCAAAAAGTCTGGTAATCTTGCTCTCAACACATAAAAACCTCGTAATTCATCTTATTAATTATACATAATCAGGCTTCGAAGACATATATGGATGGCATGTAACTATTGAATCTTTATGTGGTTCCTCAGAGTGTGTTTCCTTTTGTTTTTGACGTGTCCTCATTTTTATTGCTGTCGCGTTGTATCGATTGATAAAACGCGACAGCAATACAAATGAATTAAATAATTATATAGTTATATATAAGAAAAGTGTTTTGTTTGCAATGTCTTAGAAAGTGAGGTAGTTTTATGTAGCCCCTATAACATTGATCAATTAAGGACTTTTGTTGAGATGCACATGTGGTTATATGAACCTGCAACATATATATTAACCGAGACAAAGTCCAGGTCGTTATACCTTTTCAAAGTCCAAATAGCTTCTTGTCTTCAACAGGATTGGTCGTAATAAAATCACTATGTGAATAGTAGTGTTCTTGGCTGAGAATAGTGTGACGTTACAGTTGAAGTGACGTCATAAAAGGGAGGTTAACGTGCTGTTTCTAAAAATGGTACTGCAACACCGAGTTGATATCACAAATCACCGATTCCCACGTGATCATGATCCAATTTTTGCGGATGTAGCAATAGCTTGAGTCAATTGATGTGATATAATAAATGAATGTTGTTTCAATGTGTATTTTTATTTAACAGGGGTTGTCGTTTTACACAGTGAAGTATGTATTAAATGTCATTATGTTATGAAAAGCAAAATGTTTAATCAGATGATATTCATAATTAATGGACGCATTAAATTTGTAGCTCATACATTATGGTATTTCTCGTTATTAATGAACATGAATTATTACATTCATGTCTAGCGATGTACTTTTATAAATAAAGTTCTCCATTCAACAATGCATTAGTTTGTAATAACATTTTTTTAAAAATATAATAACCATCTGTTTCTAGATTGATGTACTGTGTAACATGCGTTTACAGTTATTTCAGTGCATCCTTATTTTTATGACCAACAGGAAAGGGAAAGTTCACAAATAAAGTGTAGATCAGTTCAATTAAAGCAAAGCGTACATGATATACACAAGGCAAAGGGAAAATATTAGGATGATAATGATGACAAAAAAAATGATAGTGATGAAGTCGCATGCACCATTCACTCATCAAAAGCAACTGAATTAAATGTGTTGTTTTTCTATGGAAACAGTTGCGCGCCAGTATTCTGATACATTCGTACGGCGTTACCTTTTATTCCACGTGATACTACATCTCTCGATTCTATAGACCTAGATCAGCCTCTTTAAATAAGTAGCTTTCCCGGTGATAAAGCGAACTAATCCAGAAAGTTATCATCATCTTCTTGAGCAAAAAGGTCTTGATTACGTAAAATTGTTATTTTGTTTAAAAAAGTATATAACATTACTTTTGTCGAAGCATATCACAGACACATTGACGTCAAAATATTAACCCGCTACCTAGTAAATAAGTAATAGTGAAGAAAAATAGGTGATCCAGAGGAAATCTCATTCGTCAACAAATGTCAATTCTGCAGCGTAATCAAATTAGGAATGTTGAAGTAAGCATGAGGCAATAGCTTGTTCAACGTTAATGATACAGAGTTCGTTCTGTAATAATGGGAAATTATCAAAGAAATACATTACATCACGTGATTATCTTGGAGTCCACTGACGTCATTTGTAACGTACATGACACGTAAAAAGTGTGTCCATAGAAGTGGGAAAAGATGAGGGGTTTTGTTTTACTTCCGTACCCTCTGCGCATGCCTCCTCCTTGTTACACATCACCATAACACATGGCATGGACATGGCTATTTCTTTTGGAATAGAAGCCTCTTCACACCTACATAACACTAATGTATTCCTCCGCGAGGCAAGTACGGTCAGTTTAGTGTCCTTTGTGCTCATGCAATGCTGATTTGACTTCCGGTTTCTTCGCTGGAGAAAGGGGGTTATCCCGCTGTTGTTCACGTCTTTTTTCCAGCACCTGGAAAGCAACGGAACAAAAGCTCAATTAAGAGATGAGGATTTGATAAAAAAATAAAGCAGGCAAGCATGAAACAAAACATAAAATTGGTGCAAAGTATTAAAATAATCTATGAATTGTAATATAATTAGTGCTACAATCTGATTAATTATTCCACTATGATTGTTTCGTACAATCACGTTCTTTAGTTGAAAGATATTTCATATATATGAACATTTAATCAGATTGTAAAATTATAAAATAAAAGAAATAATCATTCTTTGCTCAGAGGTAAATAAGAAGCATACTGCATCAACTTATTGAAAAGTGGATAACAAAGTTAGGTTGTGCAAACATACCTACAGATATATGGTGAAGGGTGTGTCGCCAAGCATAACTATGTTAATCAGTGATCATTCAACGATTCAAACATTAATAAGCTAAATCCTACCGTGTACAGCATTTATAGGTAGCAATGTACACTTTTGCGCTACGGCCTTGGTGATTTTAGTTTTAGAAATGAGCTTGCGTGGAGTTATTGTATTAATGAATTGTTTTGATACATGTCATTTATCATAACGAAAAGAAAGACTTACAGTTTAAGATACACTATAATTGGTGTTATGTACGATTATTATCAATTCTAAGGTTTTGGTGTGGTCCTTCCCGGAGTCGGGTTTTGATAACTATATGGCTAGTTATTCTTTAATTTTCTTTTGAGGGTAAGTTGGTATTTCTGAGGTTGCCAAATGCAAAGTGTTCTTTTCAGTCTTATTATTTTTTGTTTTGAATCGAGTAAAATATTGTTATGAAAGAAACCATGTGCTTCAAAAACTTAAAAATGTTCAGCATCAAATGCGTTTTTGAGGTGTATCAGTAGAATGCAAAACATACTTGCGTATTGCTGGTGTTGCTTGGTTCATTTGTCTATGTATCTTCACTTTCATCCCTATCAAGACTATCTAATATTAATGATGAAAATAACTAAGGTTGCAGGTCAAAAATCAGAATAAGCAGTAAAAGAGATCATGTTGATCATTTTTCTGTTAATGTTCATATTGATAGCTTATATTGAGGTAATATTATACTATAATAATAACAACAATGATAAAATACTTGATTACGAAGAATGATGTTTGTCTCATTTCTGTAACGCCACTATTTATAGCTGTAACTAAAATTTATTTCATTTTTTGGAAAATAATCCTCTTTAAATCTACAAATTACCAACCATCATGTTCCTCCGCGAAGCAAGTAGGTAAGTTAAGTGTCCTTTGTGTTCATGCATTGCTTTTTTGATATACTCTACAAATGTGTATGATAGGAATCAATATACGATTGGATTCCGTGGAAAGCTGCGTCAGATAATTGACACTAAAGCAAGCTGAATAATATACAGATTCAGAGTAGGTGCAATCTTCCTGGTCCATCATACTAAAATGCATAAGTAGCTTAGAGTCCAAAATGATATATTGATAATACTGAAAGATATATATAGCTTCGGTATTGTAAAAGACTAATAAATATTTAAGAGTGCAGTTTTAATTTCATTGTATATAAACCACAATAGAAAAAAACAGAACGAAACCGCTCTCTCTCTCTCTCTCTCTCTCTCTCTCTCTCTCTCTCTCTCTCTCTCTCTCTCTCTCGCACTCGCACATGACATGTAAGCAATAAGTATAACTCATTATAAATCGACATAAGAAAAACATGATATTTGCAAAGATCTTCTCTGTAATAAAATGGAACAACTCAACTCAACAAAACAATGTGATTTAGATGACTCAGAGTAAATCTTCTTTTAGAATGTGTGTGTTCTACATCTTCGTACAACTATATTCCAGGTTTATACATATTAACTGACGATCTAAATGTTATCTTTAATGTAAATCAACGCGAGCTTTTTCATGAAATCTCCAAATTATCTCGAATCTCCTACCATTAGTTTTGGAATGTGAATAACAAGACAGCATTTGAATGAACTGCATAGAATGGGTCAAATATGTCCGGTTTATCGTACCAAACGTGTTAACCAAATAAAAATGTCTTTTTCTTGACCCTAATTTCAAATACCACACTGATTGATCTCTGTAGCTATGAAGGCAGACAGAACACCTTAATAACATTGTTTTCTGCAAAAACGTCTGCATTTCCTGTTTGAAAGAAAGAGCTAGGTTTATTTGATGAAAAGGAAACCCTACAATTACATTTCTTTAAAGACTAAATAATGGCTTTCTATTCTTCTGTAACACATTTTTTTCAGAACACGTTTAATGATAAGAATGCAGACATGCATCAGTGTTTTATAGGATTAGGAAACTTCACAAGCAACCTTATAAACAGCGTTTTATCGCTTGCTCTGCTAATTCCTTGGCGAAGCCATTCCCCAAACGTCTTTCTTCCGTTCAAAGTATAGTTACCATTTGATCAGACCTACAGTTGCATTGCGACACTATTTACTGCAGAAGTGGAATTAATACAAATGCAGACTCTAAAGAACTAAAAAGATCTTTTTATCAATCTTGCTCATACCTTCACCAAAACATTTTTTCTATCAGAACATTTAACGTTTCTACTATTTATTCTACTATTCCTGACACCAAACTAATATAACGTATTCGTTCTCTTATAACAAGATGCAAAACGACAATACAAAGATAGGAATAAGTATTGTAGGAATCAGGTTTTCAAAAAGACAAAGGAAAAGTTTAAATGTACTGAAGCTTACATCGTGATAATGATCGAGTTCATTAATGAAAATATCTGTTTTGAGTTTGGTGGCCCGATGTACCAGCAGACTGCTGCCAAACCCATTGGAACAATCTCTGTCATCTCATCGCTTTGACTTGCTTTCGTTTTCATACAAAATCAAAATCATCGATGCGCTTATCTGGTGGGGTATCAAGGACCTTTCCAAGTCCTTCCATTTTACATAAATTCGAAGTATGTAGGAGTGTTGCTTTTTATCACAAATATGTATACAGATATACTGATTTTGACGGCTTTACGTCTGCTATTACGGCCTTTGGGCGATATATAAATATACCACACCAGTCGTATGTACACATAAGACCGATGTAAACAGCAAGAAAAACATGGGCATGTTACTGATAAACTAGCATTTTTTTCTGTTTTGAAGTTTTCATTTCTTGACAGTAACATCTGTTTCTTCAACAGTCTTATTTAATTCGATACTCACTCATTTCAATTTCCCTGACTAATGTTAAGTGCTGATAAGCAAACGAATACAAAAGGATTTCGAGAGATGCAGGATTATGAAGACTTTGACATAATTATCTGACTTCTTTAACACATATGCTGTGATATAAATTTAAGAGACAACCAACAACACTATTTCTTACGTTAGTGTAGCGTAAAGTCTTATTAGTAAAACTTTTTGTGACATTTCTTCAAATGTATGAGTAACACATATCGATGACATCTAAATTTGATTGGCCCTGGATGAAGTGACTTAATATGCATATATAGCGTTATAAATGTTCACTGTGTTTCCTTGTCAGAAGCGTTTTGCTATTTCGGTCGGTGTTGATTCTTACGGAAGCATTGAAAAAAGAATATATGGTCGACAGGACTCGCATCTTAATGGTTTTGATCACATTACGTAATAAAGCATGAAGATATTATGACCGCCAAATGGCAATCCGTGGTTTAAACCTGATATATCAGTGATAGCACAATGTGTTACGATTAAAAACTTCAACATGAAGCGGTGGACATATGGATGTTTAATGCAGATAATGATGACGTAACGTAATCAAGACATTAGAACTCTTCTTAAGCCACAACAAGTGAATTAAGCTCTTAAACTAAAAAAAAATGCAAAATTGGAACTGAAACTTGGTACTATGACAAATGCATCAATTTTGTCTCTTTTATCAAGAAATCATTAGCCATTCAATTAATATTGTATTACGCAAGGAAGTAAATACGAAAGCTGGAATACTGAGGGAACAACAAAAGTTAACGGGACGACTGCATACAATGTTCTCAGAACCCAAATCAAGGATAATTTCATGCAAAGAGTATCTTCATGAAAGAGGTACTTTACAACGTAGTAAGTGAGGATGGAAACGCATATTTTTAACATTTATGATGTTATGTAACACAGTTCTGTGATGTGCAGTATACTATCAGCTGTGTATCATCATAACTGTTAAAAAATATATCATCCTGATTTTAATCATACAGAAATTTGAAAATCCTCTTTCTAGATGTCCTCATGGGTTCATTGCGCATTAACACATGCTGTTAGTTGAACTGATAGAAAAGCCATTTTGGCGGAAATAATTCGTGTTCGGGAAAACAAAAACAATTTTTGCCAAGCGTATCTTCCTACCTCCCATGTGACAAACACTATTATGTCTGTTAAATTGATCTGGTAAGCAAATCTTTTCACGTGCAATGAATTCTTTGACATTAGTTTCATATGAACTAGTTCGACTATGCTTGGTTAATTACGAATATGAATGTGATACAAAATGCATCAGCATGAAAATATCATAAATATTACGGTGTCGTAGTACTGTATTGTACAGTAAGGGGACAGCACAGATCCTTGTCTTAATCTCAAAGTATATAAGGTTTACTTTATTCTTATTTTACCTGAACTTTTTTCATCACAGCATCACTAAACGACACCTGCATGTCTCTCAATTTGAGTTGTTTCTCTTTCATTATGGCATAGTGGAATAAAGCTTTGTTGTATCATATCAAAAGGATCTGGGGTTTGCTTTCGATTCATATGATATTGATGAAACTGCAATGTTATCTCGACAAAAAATTCGTAATATATGATAACATCAATATTAGTTTCCTCTATCTGACATACACTAGAAAGACATTAACGATCCTAGGTGTTGCTTACTAGATCCTTCAAAAATATATCGTTCTAATACCGAAATATTAATCATTGTCTGAAAAAGCAAAAGCTTGAGACACATAAATGAGATTGAACAAAAGTAATCATTGCAGTTTTTGCAATGATTAGAGGTAAATGACTA